CCCCCCCCCTTTCCCTGCCGGTCACCGGCGCGCACCTAGCGTCGCGGACGTCACGCCTTGACGTCCGGAGCGGAGCGGTGCGGTGCGGAGCGGGGTCCCACGAGCGTGACCAGTCTGCCGAGCGCGAGACGCTTATGCCTCCGGCCCTGCAGCGCCAGCCCGGGGTGCTCTGGCCGCTCCAAGCGACAACAGTCTTCAGTTATGCCTGGTTCATTGCGGGAAACAGTTCCTCTGTTCCGTCACGGCCCTCCCGTGTGTTGCAGACCCACAGTACGAGAACATGTTCGAGAACGGCAACTACCGTCGCAGGCGACGCATGAAGCGGCCCTACCGCCCCAGCAACGTGTACTCCAAGGGGCTGTTCCGCGACGGCGCGTACCACCACACCCTGCAGGGCGGGCTCCAGGGCGGGCTGCAGGGTGGCCTGCAGGGCCTGCACCCGGGCGTGGCGGGCGTGCACCACCAGCTCAGCATGGCGGGCGGGCTGACCTCGGGATTGTCCGCCATGACCGGCACCCGCAACCTCTTCTCGCCGCCAGCCTACCCGCCGCCCTACTCGCGCTACGACCCGGCGGCCCCGGGCTGGGGCCTGGGCGGCCTCCAGGGCGGCCTCCAGGGCGGCCTCCAGGGTGGCCTCCAGGGCAGCCTCCAGGGGGGCCTCCAGGGCGGCCTGCAGCCCTCGCAGATGTCGTACTCGTCCTGCCAGGGCGTGTCCTCCGCGGCCAAGGTGCTGTCCCCGCACTCGTACCCACAGGTGTCCTCGCAGCTCCAGAGCCAGCTGCAGCCCATGCAGCCCATGCAGATCCCCTCCATGAACTGCTACAACCAGCTGGGCTCCAGCTTGGGTGAGTACCTCCCCGAGTGCCCTGTGTGGCTCGCACACTCGACGCTAACGCGACCGCCCCTCACAGCCTCGCTGCCCTGCGCAGGTGCGAGCGGAGCCTGCGGAGCACCCAACATGACAAGTTTTGCTGCTTCCTTTCCGACGTGCGGCCGCAAATTTGAGCCGACGGGCGCGGACCCCATGTCGCGGTACCCGTACTGGCCCCCCTCGGATGGTGAGTAGAGCTGGCGCTGGCGCACACTACCTCACTCGCTCTCTGGTTCTCCTCACTGAAGCAAGCACCCTCCGCTCTGTTTCAGTTGGCAAGGATGACCCCACTCCGCCGTCAGCTTTCTCGGGGGTGGACTTCCGGCCCAAGTGCTTCATGTGACGGAGCGGGCGACAACGAGTCGACCATTCCAACCTCAAGACTGAGCTGGCCGGCATCGCGCCCGCCGCGCCCCGCGCCGTGTGTCTGTGTGTGTGATATGTACAGTACCTAGACCTAACGTAAATTTTAATCTAGGGGCCCCTCCATGATATGTATCTGGTCCGAATGAGAGTGAATTAGTGTGCGATCGTGTGTGCGTCTGTGTGTGTTTTTACAAAGTGTTCGAATGATCATGTTTGTGTGATATGTGTTTAACATTAATGTAGGGGCCTGCAAGTCTAATTTGAGTGCGAATGAGAACTATGGGAGAGTAATTGAACTAACCAAAGCCAAAGTCTGAATCGGTTGATTTTAATACTGTAATTAACGACGTTGTTGTATTTTTTATTTTTCCCAGAATTATACAAAAAATTGGGCATGGAACAAATTGACAAAGAAAATTTTTGCTGTACTCATGAAAAAACTAAGGTGCTATTTTGAACGTTTTAAGAAGATATGCTTTAATTTGTTTACAAAGGCACTAAATTGCCTGAAGAGTGCTAAATTTAGTACCTTTGGGGTGAGTTTTTCAGAGGCACTAAAACAATATCACCAGAAGAAGATATGCTGTATCCTCCGCTGTATCGCTTTTTCGTTTTTCCAGTGGTGTTAAATATGTATGTGTTGGTTGTATTTTATAGTTGTAACACAGGCAGATTGAAAGACTTAAGTTTTGCCTCATTTTTAATATAGTTTCAATCCAGTCGTGGATTAGCAGCTGGCACGGAAAGTGAAGAAGGAGGCCTGAGCTAGTTAGTGTTTTATCCAATGTCATCTCTTGGGAAAAGCACCATCGAAAAAGCACTTTTGTTTCCATTAGGCAAATGGCTAATCTATTTATGGGTGTTTTTGAATTTTAATTTCTTTGGATCGTTTTCGGTAAATGATTTTAACAAAAGGTTCTGTTGCCTCTCGTTCCGATTCTTCTTTTTATTTTTCAGTGCTACCCCCACGAGGTGTGGGTGGAGGTCAGGGTCAATAAAAATTACCCCCTTAACAAACGTTTATTTTCTCTTGTTATCTCTTTGTAAAAAATAAAAATGTTTATATAAAACTGACCCTCTGATATAAATACAAAAATAATAATTCTATAAGATGTTTCAATCCAGTTTTGTCAATTAAGTTTTCAGATTGCAACCCTTTTGAAGTCCCCGCGCAATCGAAAAGCACACGCAAGCAGCAAATCGCTACAGTAGGGGAAACACGCTCGGGGACACGCCCGCCCCCCCCCCCCCCCCCCCAAAACACACACACAAACCTCGCTCAGCCCCGCCCTGCCTCGCCACACCACACCGGACGCGAGGAGCTCAGCTGGCTCGCAACAGTTTAAAAGCAAACCCGAGTAGGTTCTCACCCCAACGTGTCTCCCCCAACCCACTCTCCCCTCCCCCTTCTACATCTCTACCATCTCCGCTGACACGGCATTTTAAATACACCAGAACGTCAACAAATTACAGAGTGATTTAAAAAGCCCTCTGTCTGTCCCTGTCTGCAACCCCCCGCCCCCGACTCCTCGGAGTCCACACCTGCCAGGCAATAAGTTAGCCGTAAAGTGGCGTGGATATGCCTATTTTTAAGTCGACTGTAGCCGGGCACGCGTTCGCCCCCCCCCCCCCTCCCAACTCCCACCCTTCTGTGCCCCGCCACCTCGCAGTAATGTGTGACCCTACTTAAGAACAAATAAATAAACAAATAAACGCCCAAGTAAATAAACTTTCGTTTTGTTATGAAACAAGGTGGAGTGGTTGTTAGGTTTGTGGAGCGATACACCAAACAGAACAAACTGGCTTCCATGAATGACAGGAGAGATGCGCACTACTTCCCACAGACCCCAGGACTACAATTGAGTTTACTGTACCACATGTAAGCGTTTATTTTAGAACAAGAAAGGGATGTTCAGTCGCAGCAACGCTAATGCTATATCCAGTTAAGAATTTTGTCGTTTCCACGCTCAGCGTGCGCTCACGCTGGCGCAAGCGCGGCGGGCGAGAGGGGAAGCGGAGGGCGAAGCGGGGTTAGCAGTTCCTCCGCCGCTGCCTCCCCGCACCCTGCCCCCTGCCCCTCGCCCGCCTCACGCCGGCGTGAGCGCGCGCTGCGCTAAGCGTGAATACGACCATTTCTTAACTGGATATAGCATAAGAATTTCTTTTAAAAGTCGTAGTACAGGAGTGCCACTTAAAACACGCTAAAAAATCGATTT